TAAGTTCAGCAATGCCTGGTCAGCATCACATGAACTGACCCAGTACTGCAGGCAGAGGTGCCCAATTCTCCACCTACATCATACTGGAAGTTGAGATCCAATTCCAGATCTCCCACTGGAAAATGACTACCTAAACCAGCAGCTGTTCACCATGGATTGAAGCAACTTTTACACATCTACTATCACCCCCTGAAATTGTTCAGCAAATTTGTGAACAGGATTTGGTGTCTCTGACATATTTTATGAAAAATCCATTTGCCAGGATCTTTTCTCCTGAGAAGCTGAGAAGCTTCAGCTTCTCCATGTTTTTGAATGTGATTGGGAGAATTGTTCACCCAGCATGTGAAATTATTTTTACTTGATGACCAATGACAGCCACCTGTGTTGAGGCTGTGAGCAGCCACAAGATTTTATTATAATTCCATTCCTTTCCTTTGCTAGCATTCTGATGTCTCCTTTCTCTTTTCTTGTAGCATAGTCCTAGTAAATAATTTTCTTTTAATATAATATATATCATGAAATAATAGATCAGCCTTCTGAAACATGGAGTCAAGATTCTCATCTCTTCCATTGTCCTGGGACCCCTGCAAACACCACCAGAGGTTTGGTATTAAGTGCATGGTTTGAGGGACATTTTTTTCTGCACATAATGATCAAATTTTGTTTCAGTACATGCACTGCATGATACATGTTTTTTCCCCGGAAAGTTAGACAAGCTACACATTTGAAAGGATAAATAAATATACCTGTTTTCATAAAAACAATAGAGGTATGGCAGAGGGGTTGTGCTACCCAGCTCTCAATTAATTTAACCAAATTACACATCCTTTGAAGACTTTCTTTTTAACTTCCTTCCTTAATAAGAATAACTGAGCAAAAGTTGCATTTTATTCACACCAGATAATTAAAACTTTTGGTATTGGAATAATTTTTTAAAAACTCATCTGTTCCAACATCATTTGAGTTCCAACAACACATTTTAATTGAACACACTTCTGAATTGCTACATTAATATGCCACATCCTGCTTGAGGAATAAAAAAACCCTGTTTTTCTCCTGAATCTCCCTTAATTTTCCTTCTTCTCTTCTCCCTAAACCTGTTTCATTAAAAAAATTATTTCAGGTCTCTCTCTTTGCAAACTTTGCCTCTTTGAACAAGTAAATGGTGGAGATCATCTTCCCAAACTTCACCCAGGCTGTCCACAAGAATCTTTGAACTGTGTACTAAACACCTGCTCTTAAATACAATAGAAACAGATGAAATACAACACAACTTTGAGTCTCTCACCTGAATTTACAGAGAGCAGGCTCATATGAACAGCCATGCTCACCTCTTGTGAATTCTTACATAAACTTGATTTCAGACCAGCCACACACGACCTCCCTTTCTCCTCCTTAACACACAATGTTTGTGAGTTTCTGACTAAGAGACAATTTCAATATTCTACTCTTTGAGCTGAAAGTCTTGCAGAGACAGCATATCAATTTTCAGGCTATACCAGATCCAAATTACCTATTCTAAACTCTGATCCCTATTTTGGATTCTAATCCCATTTTCTTAGTCTCTAATTAGCAATATTACTTTAGTGCCTTATTAAGAACTAATGCCAAAACCTAAATTATCATCATTTCAATAAAATAATCTTTGAAATCCAATAACACAAACAGTGTAAAACATTTCCTAGCTGCAGACAGGTATGCCATAGCATGCAATTTTCAATTTCATAAACAGATCATGTTTCACTACCCTATTATTAAGTAAGCGATTATAGTAATTAATGAATTAAGCAATATTACAAAAAAATAATAGTTTATAAGTAGTATACATGAATCACAGGTTCCAGGGCTCCCAGCCTTTCCCAGGGAGCATGCTGCCAGTCACACCCAGACCCAGGTCTGTTCTGTCTTGCTTTTGCATCTCAAGCCCTCAGGGCTGGTGTCTTTTGACACTCGGAACTGCACAACATCACACAATCTGCAGCATTGCACACCATGAATAGAACAAATTTTTTTCTGCAAGGGATTTCAGTGTAATTTTGGTTTTGTTAAAAGCATTAAATCCTGTTAACAAACCTCACCTGATGCACTGAGTCTCAGTGGTGCAATAGGATTTCTTTATAAGGACTTTTAGGAGGAATCCAAGGCTGGAGGGACATTCCTGTCCCAAAAATATGGAACATCTTTGCAATTCCAGCAGTTCTATGTCAATGGGAATTACTTATTTTCAAGCAAAGCACTATCTATATTCAAAAAAAAGTTAGAACAGAAAAAAACCCCACGGACTTTTAAATTTTAACTTATTTAGAAATGTCTGTGGAAATCAAAGCTACCAGACAGATTTGAGAATGGCGTGGGTTGCATTTGTGGTGGAGATGAACAGAATTGGGATATGTTGAAACTAGCTTAGTTGGTTCCAAGTGTAAACACAAGATATGCTTATTGTATGCACTCTGAAACTAAAGAAAAAAATTCACTTATAACTGAGAAGCTGAGGCTGGAAAAACTCCTTTCCTAGCATTGTTCCTTCAAAGTCCAGAGGAAAATTTTTAAATATAACCCAAATCAGAGTTGGTTCCTGCCCCCACACTCCCCCTTCCCCAAACAAACAAATCACTCTCAAGGCATGACTTGCCTTGTTTAACAGCCCTGTTTAGAAGACAATTGCTGTAAGAGTTTGGCATCATTAATTTTTCCAGAGCAGTCTGTCAGCATGTGAGCCAGTCCAAATGTGGAACTCATGCATGTGTGTTACACGGTACAGAGCTTGCCTTTAGCACTTCTCCATTTCTGACAAGCTGGAAAATAATTATCAAACTACTTGATGCACCAGCCTGAGGCTATAGCAACTAGCTACCCAATTTAAATTTTGCTGGTTTTGCCAATATGTAATTGGTTAGTATTTTAATTTTTAAATTGACAGGGGGTTTTTTTCTGTTCTATCAGACTTCCCTGTATGTAACAAAACATCATCAAAGGAACGGAAAATAATCATTGAGAGTTCCAGATTTTGTCTCTCTCAGATAAAAAAAAATCACAGAATCATGGAATAGTTTGGGTTAAAAGGGACCTTAAGGATCTTCTAGTTCTAACCCTGCCATTATAGACAGGTACATCTTCCACTAGACCAGATTTCTCAAAGCCCTATCCAACTAGCCCTTGAATATTTACAGGATGAGGCACTTTTTTTTGCCCATATGTAATTGGTTAGTATTTTAATTTTAAAATTGACAGGTTTTTTTCTGTTCTATCAGACTTCCCTGTATGTAAAAAAATACCATCAAAGGAATGAAAAATAGTTATTGAGAGTTCCAGATTTTTTTCTCTCTAGGATAAAAAAAAAATAAACCACAGAATCATAGAATAATTTGGGTTAAAAGAGACCTTAAAGATCTTCTAGTTCTAGCCCTGCAAACAGACAGGTACACCTTCCACTAGACCAGGTTTCTCAAAGTCCTGTCCAACTAGCCCTTGAATATTTACAGGATGAGGTTTTTTGGGTGACCTGTGCCAGTGCCTCACCACCCTCATAGTAGGGAATTTTTTCATTACATGTGAGAAAATACTATCCTTTAATGACCCTCAACAAAAGAAAAGAAAAAAATGCATGTGGATTCAAAAAATATGCTCTGAACCCATATGCAATTTTTGTCTATCATCTCTCTACAACTGTGAAACTGTTTTTCCACATTTGGTTGTTCCTTAAACAGAAACTGGAGGATAGCTTTACAGTTTATTGCTGTCCCTCTCTGAAGCTATTGCTACATCCTTTTCAAATCAGCAGGAACCAATGCTACATATGGTATCCAATGAAATGCAGGCAAACCTGGGATTAGTACATGATGTACTCCTTTGTTGTTTGTTTTTCAACAAGCCCTAATATTCTGCTTTCTTTTTTGTTTATTGCTGCCCTGAGGTTTCCACGAAATTATTTATCATAAACTCTGAGATTCACTCTTTAGTGATAATGAGGCTTCAACCTCACCAACAGAATAAACATCAGAGCAAGGACAGCAGCAGGGCAGCAGGAGAGAAATCTTTAAAGATGCTTTGAGAGCTGTATCCCATGACTGGCTCCTTAGTTTAGGAAAGGTTACATTAAGAATTCAGAATTTATTTTTGTTTTCCGTGAATGAAAACATCTTTAAACGACCGGCAGTGAGAAAACACAAGAGTAATGAAGCAAGTTAACAAAGATAAATAATAAAACAACATCAAGAATGACTAGTGAAGGGCAGAATGGTTCAGAAACCACTGAAAGCTAATGGTTCCTGTGTTTCCCACATCCCAAGCAAGTATTGCTTCTCACCCCTTCCCTGCAAATGGCACCTGATCCTGAGGAGCTACTGCTGAACCAGAGCTACTTCCAAAAAACCCCTGAAACGGCTCTCTTATGCAAGAAAAGCTGAAAGCATGCCTCTAATACACTCCCTCTGTCCATGCACTGGGCTGAAGTGCAGGCCAGCAAGATCCCCAAATTCTGGGTAGTGAAAATGAGTGAATTGCTTCACCTGAGCTTTGAAGGCTCCTCTCAGCAGGATTTATGATCTCAGCACAGCACCATGCTAAATGCAATGGCATATCTGCCCAGTCAGTTCCCCAGAGGGCAGGAAATGTGCTGAAGTCTGTTAGGAGAGGACAACAAAGACAGACCAGGAGGACATGTGTACCTTTTTTTAAATGGGGACTGCTTGTTAGTGGCCTGAGCAAATCCAGATGCTAGTCCCTGCTTGCCTTTTGCCGTTGGGCAAATAAGCAAGCATCTTTCCTGGATTAAATTAACTATAAACTCAGGGATGAGATAAAGAGTGACTTGTCTCCTCTCCTTCAATGGTGGCTTAGCTACCAAAGAACTGTCTAGCATGAGAGTAGCAGCACACATACCAGAACAAGTTACTTTTTATAAGATGCTGCTAACACTCCAGAAAATTTTAATTGGTGATAAACCACTTAGTGCAGGGAAATTGGTGATCTAACTTTGACTGCTTGAAAAAGATTACTTACATCCACAGGAGCAGGCATCTCGCAGTCAGGGTTGAACAGCCAAATCACATCACCAAGAGAACAGCACACATTTGATACTTGTAATGCTTTCTTCTGTGAAAGGCAGATAATCTTCTTCCAGTCCTTTCCAGGGGCACAGAGTAACAGGAGTACTGTTGAAGAAATTGCATAGCTCAAAGCATTCAGAGACTACACTTGCTCTTTTGGTGGCACACAATGCAAGGCTGTTCTCGGGTCAGAGTCTATTCTGGTGCAACATCATTCATTTTCACAGCAGATTCTGCTGAGTCAGGAGGATGATGTAGCACGAGAGACCTCATAAATCCACTGAGCAACAAACAGAACCAAACAAAGCTTTTGGGAGAGTGCTGCCATGGATGACTATAATATCTTTCTGCCTATAAACAAAAGAAAGGCTGCGCTTACCATCAGATCAACTACCTGCATCAAAATCTGATGGATCAAAGTTGACAACAGTGACTAAATACTCTGCTCAAGTGTTATCTGTGCAAGAATTGGCTCGATTTGTCACTTTATAAACTCTGGAAACCATTGAAGCTGGCTGATAAATGGTTGCCCACCAATAAAGATCATCACTTAATTTCTAGGCTTGCCCCAGTAAATGCCAACTTTTTCATAATCTCTGAAGGACTTTATCAAAATGCAAAGTATGCTAAATAATTCAGGTCTTTCAAAATTACCATTTTATCTTAATTCACTATATAAGACACTTGTCAGGTGTTTGGAAGAAAAATTGACATAAACAAATCCTGAGGGGTGGAGGAGTGGGCAGCACGAGCAGGAGGGGAGTTTAAGAAGACTTGAAGACAATCTTACCAATGAATCCTCAGCTGAAAATATCCAAAAAACGGCATGGGTGTATCCAAAACTTGACACAAAAACAATCATGTAAGACATGAGCTTTATCTGATGCACTCATTTTTCTTGGACTTTTGAGAGAAGACGACAGACAAGATTATCCTCCTTTCAGGTCATTGACAGATTCTAGGATAAACAAAACAGGAAGCTGGAAATCCTTATCTGAAAAGAAACAAGTATTATTAATAATAAAGTACCTAAAGCCGCATGCAGGTCTTGGGATTGTATTTCATGTTGATTTAGCCAGGTGGAAATCCATGCTCAATTAATGGAACTGCAAATCCTTTTGTGCTAAGGAAGCATAAAACACGAGGTGGAGCATGGGGTAATTTAGCTTGCATATTTTACTATTGCTTTGTCACCAAACCAGTACAAAAACTGGTTATTTCCACTGTGACAAATGACCAAGCGCAGATACTGATTCAGTCCCACATCACACTTGGTAAGGCTGACAGCTTCAGAAGGGGGAAAATCTGTAACTGCTTATTTGGCCAGATTGTCATGAAATGATGTGGGCATTTGCTGCGCAGCGGGGGATGGCTTTTACTAGACAGGAGCTCAGCAGACAGGAAAGCTGTGTTTTGGAACTTGCAGACCTTGAGTTTCAATCCTGTTTTCTAGTGCAGGTCATATTGAGACAGACCTCTCTTTGTAACTTGTTCCACACTGTTGGAACTGCTGCTGCAAGTCTATTTGCTCACATACATTATTAATATCAGCTTCTTGTGTCATCGCCCTTCTAACCTTCAGTCCAGCTATTTGAATTTCATTACGCTATAAGCAGAGCCAGTCAAAATTTGGGGCTGAAAACAGACAAATTGCAAAAATTCTCTCACCTCATTATTAAAGATTTATTTTACAGCAGAAGGGATAAAGTTTACAAACTTTGTGATTTTAAATGGGGAAGAAAATGCTCTCTGGTGAGGACAAAATGAAGCAGTCTTAAAATACCATTTTCTTTTTAATATTATTTTAGAAGACTGCAAAACTTGGTCCATTCCCTGAGAAGGCTACACTTGCAAAGAAATGTAGTTTTCCCAATGCAAAAGCATTTCTTTAGGGTCCCCTCCCAAAAGCAAGGCTCCACAGTAAAATAAGGATTTTTAAGAAACACAAGAGAGGAAGTGTATATGGATTTCCAGTCTTGGCAACTATTCCTTGTTCTCTTCTTCTCCCAAAAAGCCTGAGACATGAGAGATCAGAGATAGTCTACCATGTGCAGTAGCAGAACACACAGCATTTCCTCCAAAGAAGGAAAGATATGACTTTTGTTTTTCAAGGTTTTTTTACATTTTAAAACAGTGCCTCGGCCATTGGCCAAAAAATAAAAAACCTTCATAAAGTAGACTTACCTTAAGGTTAGCATTTGAGAATTATTTTTTTTCACAATAAATAGTTTTCCGCAAGGTTGGGTGGTTCCACATCCACACAAGCAACCAAGGTTCACAAAGGATTTTTTCTCTTTCCATACTTTCACTCTCTGAAAGGTCCTTTTTGGACAGTTGCAAATTACAACATATACATTTTTGACAAACATCCTGAATATTACCAAACTGGGAGTTGTTAGTCTTTCTGTTAATCTTTAATTGTCTTTACATACAATTATAATGATCATTATAGTAATTACTAGTAATTCTCCTATAGTTTTCTTAGTTGGCTTTCCCTTTTCTTCCATTCCCATTCATATACTCTCTGGTGCACTAGCTGTCCTTGACATTTCCTTATTAGGTTTACAAATAATCATTAATTTGTTTTGTGTTCTGCCTCCTGTTTCAGTGATGTATAGGCATGTCACTACCTTTCTAAAGTGTATTCATTATTTTTCCTCAAAAACAGCTCACTACTTCTCACACAGGGTTCAAGGCAATTTGCATTGTGCACACGTCATGGAGTGTACTGATCATTGCACCTTCACTGAAGTGCGTGCTATCTATTCTTTAGCTTTCATAATTAATGAACTTGTGATCTGAAGTTTCTTTCAATGTTTGGTTGTTCTTTCCCTTGGCCTCTTTGAAAGGCAACAGAATACTGAACTCTGACTCAGGATTGTTTGCTACCCCTTTTTTTGTCCCAGGTCTCTTGATTACACCTTCTGCGTGGTCTTCTCACCACTGAGGAAGCAAGACATACATAAAATATGGTTTTGTGCAAGGTGGGGTTTTTTTGGTGTGGGGGATGTGAGTTGGTGATCACCAGACCTGAGACTATTGAGTGCCAAGATGCTGGCCTGGGAAGGTTTGCTTAAAGTCTAAGCAATCTGCTGTGGCTGACTTGATCAACATTTACTGGCAAATAATCTGAATTTGAAGCCCTCAAAGAAAAAAAAAAATAATCTTTTTGTTGTGCTTTTTTTTTTCCCGATAGCAATTTTGGCCACCCAGTTTATTAAGTACTGTTTACCTACTGTTTTAAACTTGGTGAAAGTATACTTTTAATTAAAAAGTTAAAACCACACCATATCAGTTCAAAGTTTCACTCCCATTTCTGATATTTAAATGTTATATTTTCAAAGTTAACAGAATTTTAATAGCCAAATGAAGAGATAACTATGTTTTCTATAAAGTATCTATTACAAAGAGAAACTAAGAGATCAAGACAGAAGGCAGTTCACCCTCTCAGTGATTTTAAAACAGCAGAAGTCAGATGACCTCAAGAAAGGCACATTAAAAAGAAAACAATTAGAGCAAGACTAATCTGATTTATAGTAGAGAACCAGTATGAATCCAGATCTCTTCTGTCCTCCCTTAAAGAAAACATTAACAAAAATCGGTTGTCATGTGAACTACATTTTTTTACTCGTGCACACTAAATTAATATTGAAAAAGTGATGTGCTTTGTTATGTTATAAACAAAGTCAGACTTCATATTCAACCAGAGAAGCTACCTGTCCTACACTCCTAGCTCTGCAATTACCTAATACATGCTGAACATTTTATTTCTCTTTATACTACTTTTTAGGACACCATCCTTTATTTTGCTGTGGACCTTATGTCAACACCTGCATATGTGCAAACCAAGTGTAAAACACAATCATGTCAGCAGTGATGGTATTTCCCACCCACTCTGTGAGAGGAATTATGCTGGGTTTAAGGCTGTTGGGCAATCTGCTCCAGAGTATCTTGTAGCAGCCTTTTCCAACACAAGGCAATTAAATTCAGCCCTGTGCTGTTCTCCATGTGATGCTCTGAAACTATAATGTCAAAATTAGACACCTTAGAGTTGAATGAGATTTATTTTTCAGGTGTGTCTCAGTTGTTACCACAGTTGAGATGACTTAACTGCTATCTGCATTTCTTCCCAAGTGTTGAAAAAGGTTAGTTATTGCATTTCTTGGATGTAATATCTTAAAGTGACAGATTCCTTTTTCCCCTTTTAAACTGTACTTGTACAAATGCCAACAAGAGCGTGCAGCAGCATGTAGGATATTTTCAGCATTTTACTAGGGAACTATATTTGCAATATATTGGTCAGCATTTTCCTAATAGATCTCTGTATTCAGGAAACTCTACTGAAATTTCAGTCTCAACTGGGACTTCACAAACAGATCCTCCACTCAACAAATCTCTCTCATGCGATCTTCAAAAAAATAGCCATTAGATGGGAATGCATAGCTGATTACAGAAATGACACTACAACTGAAAAGAAACAATACCTATTTTATTAGCTCATATACTAATGGGAACTCCATAAGCTATAGAATTGGAAATTGTTTCTTAATAAGAAAAAAAAGCTAAAAGAAAAAATAATTCTCCCTTCCTGAAAGAGGAAATTATTAGTGCAAGCTTTAGGAGAAGAATAGAAGACTTTTTTGAAAGGTAAATTATCACATATCCATTCCTTTCTTTGAGTTAGCTGGCTCATAATTATCTGTACCTATGCTAATAGTGGGAATGTCTGAAATAAATTGCATGCAAGTAAGATATAATCAAGAATTATGTAGGTATATTCAAAGAAAATTTGAAGTGAAGTTTAAAAGTCAGACTCAACCCACAAAAGATTCATAGGCAGGAAAAAAAATAGATTTTCTATAGATCCAAGAAAGTGATTTACAAATCCAAAATACAGTATTGCCATGCATTAACAGAATTAAAACCTGTTGTTCAGGAGGAGTAACACTAAAAAGGAAATAGCAGTCAACACATAGCAAGTTTCAGCTGCTTTAATCCAGAAAAACTTGAGTGTCACAATGCAGCCAGTGTCAAAAACCAAATGACTGAGCTGCCCCACAGCATTTCCACGGAATCAAAATCTATTAACTGCCTGCACATCAAAATCCTTTGCAATGACCACTTTAATCTCAAGGCTAGAGACACACTCTCAAATGAAGTACATCATCAAGTACCAAATAATTTAAAAGGTCATGAAGAAAGTTATGCTTGAGCAGTGTTGTAACAAATAAGCAAAGCAAACAAGCAATCGCTCAACCCCTTCCAGTTTCTGCCTCACTTAGCACCATCCCTCCCCTCTTCACACTGGGGTTTGAAACCTCAGATAATAAAAGCTGTCATGTGTTTATTAAGGTCATGAACATACAGCACCTGAATGATCTTCATATCCTTGCTACAACTCCTGAACCACACAAACCAGCCACACCTGGCACTTTGAGAGGATCAATAGTGCATATTTTATAACACATGTATAACTTTGACAGTGGCAATATTTGCACCCTTCCTAAATGTTTTGGAGTAGGGAAAAAAAGTGGAATTCAAACTTCTTCCCTATTAATTTACTTGCATCAGATCTTACTGAAGATGACCTCAAAGATTATACACGTATCAGAATTCTCTAAGCATAACCTATAGCAGCACTGGGAATCTAATTCAGACAGGCTTTCATGCATGACTAACATTAATCAACTTATAAATCTTGATGTAGAACTTCAGTTTAAGAAAAATACAGTAATTTAATCAGTGTTGTACACTGTAGTTCTATTTTGCTCATCACTACCCATAATAGTGTATCATTAAGCTCATTTAATTCCAAATAAAGCAGTCAAGCAGTGAAATGCTAAAGCCTTCCTCAGACATCATTTAACCCAGCAAGCCTCAGGCACCACTGGTAAAAGCCTGCAATCCAAGAACAGGGATAAATCAAATCATAACATGAGTTTGGAAATATTTTTATGTCTCAATGACCAAATGCAACAAGACTGTATTAGTAAC